TGCTGTTGAGGTCTTTCATAATGCACTTTTGCAGCCTGGCACATGATTTTCTTTTGCGTTAGAGTGAAAATGTGTGCATTTGAGTTTGCACACATTTGTGAGTATGAAAAGTTGCTAAAAGTGCCAAATATATATTTTTTGAATAGCTAAATCTAGGTGCATTTTGAAAAAAATAAAGTTTCCAGGGTAGTCTAAAAAATCTAGCAACAAAGTTGCTAAGTTGGCAACACTAGCCGGAGTTTGTTAAAGTTCCCTTCAACACTTAAGGAGTCGCCGCTCCGAAGGTTTATCCTGCTTATTGGTAAGGCACGTTGAGATTTTTGTTTTTATTATGCACCATACAATTGATTTTAAATTATATGGCATACATGACTATTTATTGTACACTACATCTGTCACGTTTGTGCTGGACAGAGCGAAAAAGGTTCAAAAGTCTTTAATATAAAGAAGCAGGGGCTGAAATGTTGTGAGCAGGCTGAGGTTGCGGGGGAACTCCAGAGGGGCAGAGAACCCGAGGCTGTGGCAGAAAAATGACGGGGCAAGATTGCTGAGCGTTTTAGCCGTGGCATCAGTTCCTGGTTTGTGAACAGCCGATCTGGCAAGGAATGAGTGGAGGGTTGGAGAATAGCAAGCCTGGAGCCTGATCAGTGAATGCATTCCAGCTGCGTTGGTCAATCAGTGGGAGGAGCGCAGCCCAGACCATGACAATATTGTTGCTTTTTGAGATTTGTGGATGACATACATTGGTATTACTTTTGTGTGATATTTTGTACTTTGAATCATTTTGCATCAAATCATGATTAACGATATTTGATTTTTTGACAAAAATACTATACAATATGTAACGCTACATTGGGACCTCTTGTGGTGTTTAACACTTTTAATTCATTCTGTGCTATCACCTTTTAAGACAAATACTACGTTACTATAACATGATTTCTTTTATTGCAAATGTTCCAGGTCTGTCACGCCCCTCTTCTCACCTGTACCTGGATTTCTACACACATATCACATCTATATTCAGTGGAACCGCAAATACCTCCGAAACAAACAATTATTGTTCCAACAGCTTTGCTTGTTGGTGTTGGTTAGAAAAAGCTTTTAGTCAAATAAAAAAAATTGCAACCCTTACATGTTACTCCTTGTGTTTCCCTCGACACCCAGGTCAGGTTTTCTATGAAGTATCTATTTGATTTGGTTCATTCCATATTCTATTCATAACACGTTAATTGTGTACATAGTCTAGGCATTTTTCTGCCCTTTTAAGCTTTTTGCTCTTCTGTTAAACAGATTTTTTTCCTTCCATGACCTCCATTCTATGCAAAGACAATAACTTGAACCTAATCTAATGTCATGTCAAATTTTTCACAGTATTTCAAGCACTGAAATATTTAAGGCAGACCGTGTTATGACCTCTATATGGCATACCATAACATCTTTGTTAGATAATTTAATATTATCTGTTTTAAGGTAAGCAATAAGATACCAGAGACTGTACTTTATCGTCCAATAATGGAACAGTTCGGGGAGTTCGTTGTTAGGCCTGATGCGCAGCGGAGGACCGGCAACCCTCGAACTGTTACATTATTAAAGATAAAGTACTGCCTCAAGTAGCTTATTGTTTTTATAATACGGTTACCAGCGAAATTATAATTAGTAAGTAAATAGCTGCCTTTCTGCACAAAATAGTATTAGCCACCAAACGTTGTGTATCTCATTTCAATAGTCTAGAGAAAAAAAAGTCCCTGTACGTGCACGTAAACAGCATTGGGTCCCGCACCATCTCATTCATTCAGACCGCTGATGACGTCCACCTTAATTGTCCGGTTACAAAAGCTCGCATTGGCAAAACACTGATCATTTGTGGGATTTCAGGGTTTTTTCAGCGCCATCGCCACCAAGCTAAAGGCTAAAATGTCTAAAAAACGGTTGCACAAAATCTAACCTACTACTTTGAGTGCGCAGTGATACGGAACGCTCGGGTCAATGTGAACAGCAACTGTACATTATCGCTCAATAATGTACCTATATTATAACATATTATATGGGCACTTTTTATGACTTTTTTCAACAGACGAAGCTGAATTGAGTTATAATTTATTTATTTTGTATGGCTTACTTTGTCCTACTATATTACGTTTTTATGGGAATATTTTTAACCATGCAATTACTCTTTTGAGACATATGTACATTTGGTGAAAACTGTGAAACACTACAGGAAAACTCCATGACAGCTTAAGGTTGTCTTTTTCCAAACACAGCTATTGTATGAAAAATATATTTTTCTTTTTTATACCTCAGAATCAAAATCAGCGTTATTCACCATGTGTGCTTACTATTTTAGATGTAATGTGGTGCTCTCTTTTCAAAAACAAAGTGCAATGAAGTAATTAGGAAGTTTTATTAAGTATTAAGAAAAGGGGATATATAGAAAGTAAATATATGTATATAAGTAAGTATCCATAAATATGGATAATATATATATATATATATATATATATATATATTACGTATGTGTGCGCAACAGCAGTGTTGTATATGGGATAAAAGGGCAGATAGAGATAATAGTATAATTGAGGTGGCGGCCTGAGTTAAAGAAGATGTTTTGTGTCTGGTGGTTTCTGCGAACAGTGCTCTGTAGTGCCTATTAAATATACTGTAAATGTGTGTTTTCATGCGTTCTGTTAACGATGTTAATGTTCATAATGCTGTGTATATCTAGTGTGTATATACACAGTACCTCTTACAGCACTGCTCTTTTGGTTAGATGCAAAAGATTATTTAATTGTGTTATTACCTGTACTCTGCGATGACAATAAAGTTGTCATCTTTTGGTGGCTGACCTAAAATACAATACATGTATAAAATAGAAGGGGATTTTTTTACTTATTTAACTACTACTTGTTCAACATAGTATACCACACCTTTTTTAGTTTACATTTTAGTTGTTTACACCTTTTTACAACGTACCATATTCGTTGGCGGATAGACAAGCGTGCGCGAGGAAGAGAGGACGACCCGTTGCTTTGCTTGAGCGACACCGTGGCGAGGAAGATGGCTCGTCTTCCGTATCTTGGCGAGCCCTTTACGGCGATCCATGCCACCTCTGCCGTGACAAACTATTCTAAATCTTTTTTATATTTTTTTTCACGTCATGCTATTTATTAAATACTGTATTATGCTATTTGCGATTATGCTACCATGACTTGTTTGATATGCTATACTACAACAGTTTTTCATTACTTTTCCCACAACCTTTTACTTTAACTACAACCATGGCGTGCTGTAAGATAACTATTTTCAACATGTTATAATACAATATTTTTAGTTTGACATATTGTACGAGAACTTGTTTTTCAACATGTTATACTGATAAAATGCATAATACTAATAATACCATGATATAAAATAATCTGTATTTTAAATAATTCTTAATTCAACCGTATTACAAATTAAAAGTTCGACCTTAAACACATTTGTGTAAGTGATTAGTGCTTAAAATGCTCCCCTTTTATTAAAAATTAAAAAAGAAAGGCTTCATCTTTCTGGTACTCAAATGTACTTATGTACATTTTACATTACGTATGTAAAGTAATATTTTACTTATAACGTTAAAAACTCGTCCTTTAATTAACTTTGGAACCCAAAGAAGAACCAAACCGTTTCATGTGGTTACCTTCCAGGAAGATAGAATAACTCAAATCACCCTCAGCATGTGACCTATTTATGGTGGCGTTAAAAAAGTGAAACATAGCTCATAGGCGAAGCTTAGTGAAAGAATATTTACAGATTATAATTATGTTTACTTCTCAAAAAAGTCAAATGACTTTAATAATTTCTAGAAAATACGGGTCTCCTAATTGGGTCAGATGCCCACGCTATGACTACAAAAATCATATTTCACTATTTGGCTTTAATATATCAGTATAACTTTTCAAACTTTTTGGACAAGATTATAGCAAATTGGGAGAATCCTGGCTTACTGGTGTCTTAAAAATGACTCAAACGAAAAGGCGTCAGGTCTCAGACCAAAAGTCGTCAGACTCGGGCGAAATGGCTTCAGTCTTAGAAAAAACCCGTCAAAAAAAACGCTGTCAGAAAAACCTGTCATTCTCAGACAAAATGCCTTCAAAACAAAAGTTGTCACCTGTCAGAAAAACCTCCATCATAAAAACCTCCCTCATAAAAACTCCGTCAAAAAAACTCTGTCAGAGAAACCTCAGTCATTCTCAGACAATATTTAGAAAAGAAGTTGTCAGAGCTAGATGAGGAGGCTGTTGACTAGCTTTCTGAATTTCACTGTGGTGTTTCTGTTAACTTTGCTGAAGAATCATATTACGTCATCAACACGCGGTGCGACAATCTGAACAACTGTTCCGTCAGTATAATGGTGACGCTTTCACCCTTAAAAAAATAAAAGCTTTTTTAGAAAGTGAAGTAATGGAATTGACATTTTTATGAATATTGAAAATGAATGCCTTCGCTTGCTGCTAACCTAACTATGCTAGGTAGTCAAACTAGCAGAAGGTCTATGATAGTACACAACATATTTTTCTTTTGAATCATATCCTTGTTGATTTGTAGGCCTATCTGTATTTCTACAATTAAAGGCCGAGAAAATGCTGTCTGACAGGTTTTTATGATGCTATTTGGTTTGAGTTTTGTCTGAGAATGACGGAGGTTTTTCTGGGACTGAAGTCTGACGAGTTTTGGTTTGAGACTTAACGCCTTTTCGTTTGAATCTGACACTTGAGTCTGAGATCTGAGGATGTCCTAACATGAACACCGTACAGGACACATTCTGATTGTCTTATGTTTAAAAACATGTCAGCACTGCTTTGTACAAATAAGGGAATACCTTGACCAAAAAAAGTTGTTACAAATTCTTCATGTTGTACGCTTTCTGTAATGATTTTTGTCTGTGACTCTCTTGTATGTATGTATTTACAACTGAAAGAAAAGCTGTAACATGTTGGGTTATTGGGGTCAAGACAATGTTCTGGTTCATATGAAGGTGTGCGTTTTATTTCACTTTACCAAAGACATTGGTATGCACATGGTTGACCTTATCTATGATGATGAGGCAGGGTTGAATAACAAAAAGATGTCATAACTTACTTGGTTAGTACCACCAAGTAGTCACTGATGCAGCCTTGACTTCTTCGACATAATGTCCCTTTGACCCATCTGAACCGCTGAGAAAGAAAAGAATCCTTACCTTTTTGTCACTTTCAGAAAACATTTTTCTTCAAAGTAACACCAGATTAAAATAATTTGAAATGTCCATTTGATGACCTGTGAAAACTAAGACCATCTAAATTTGCAGGGGATGTTGTTTTCATTTTTTAACTTGAAACATTTCACGATAAAAGATGGTCGTATGAGTTATACTTCTGCAATGCTTTCCCTGTCTCTTTGTAAAGTTCATCGCCATTGAAAAAATGGCAGATTTGTGAAAGAAAAAACACAAGCTCGGAAATAAATGAAGACATCCAAAGCCATAGAGAGGAAATGAGTCAGTATTCCACACCGTGTACAATACAATATCATAGCAAATTAGCAGATTTCAATGGCTTCCACTGACTACCATAGATTTACAATGTTCACTTGGCTGCAGATCAGTCCTCATTGACACTTTCCTTTTTTTCATCAATGGTTCTGATAGACAGTGAGTTGTAGATGATCATGAAAAGAAAGCAGCTACTGAGGTGTGAACAGAAAACCTGGGACTACGAGCTAGCAGTAATGAGAACAACAGCATTTGTTCACATCCTTCTAAACTGCCATTGTGACCACATTTTAAGTCCAACAAGCTTCTCTACAAAGGTACAACATATAAAACTGTTAAATATATAACTTTTTAGGGCCTTTCAAAATACGTTTAATGACATTTCTTTACTCCTTCAATTCAGACTGAATAGCATTCATACGCTCTGTAAATATTTATCATCTCTTTAATACGATTTGCACTCCGGATCCATGACCAACTCGACAATGCTTACTGTAAGCTGTCCCAACTGTAGCTACTGAAAAATGCAAATCAGAGTTTTTATTTTTTTGTTGTTGTTGATACACAGTTATACGCATGTAGTTCCTATATCTCCATTTCCGAAATACAGCGGTGGGCTAAGTCTGAGGAAAAAAAAATGTCTGGAAAGTTTTAAAAGTACTCCTTTGATCGTGTCCAGTACATGTTTGCATCTGCCCATTTGTGCACCGTGTCTCTCTCGGGGCTGATCATTAATCAGTGGCAACAGTAAAAGCAAGTTCACAAAGTCTCTGTGTATCTGTGCCACATGGTCCACTTTTATTGTTTGTATCTGTTGTTTTGTTCTTTGGTCTATAAAAATATGGGAGGTTTACTCCAGCAGAAGGCCTATTGACAGCGGAGAGCGCTCAGTTTGTTTGTTGGCGGCCGCATGAAGTGGTCCGAGGAGCAATGGGGTCCGGTAATGATCCCACCTTTGCTCTGGGGGGGCCGGGAGAAGGTTGTGGAGAAATCCCCTTTTCAAAGCAGTTAGCAGTTAGCACTTCCAATGAGGCAAAAACTCTTCTTGGGATTCAAAGTGTCCAATCCGCCGCGATAAGAGCAGGCACTGCTAATTTCACGGAGCAGGCGGATGTAGTGGAGAGGAGGTGGACGCAACATTTTGACCCAATGACGGATAGCAGGTGGCAGCAGTCGGAAACCCGGAGGGGCTTGTCACAGGAAATGGAAATTTGTTTTACAGCTAGTAGTCTGTCCAGTGTCCAGGGCAAAGCTTGCTCCCTCAAACAGTCAATTATTGGTTTTGCCGTCTCTGGTTGTGTTATTAGACCTGTGAATCGAGAAGAAAAGAGCAAACATTAGGTTACTCTGCAGTCTTACAGGAGGGAGACATTTACTTTGTACTGCCTTCACATTAAGTACAAGTAAATATTGCTCACATTTCCATCGTTGTCTTCCAGCAACAAGTCACATGAAACAATTACTTTGGCAAGAAGTGTTGCCTCCATTCATCATTACGACTCCAAACATAACAGGGACCAGCTTGAAATAAAGTATTTTACTTTTTGTTTACTGAACTACATATACTTGACAATAATAGCAAGAAGCTAGTTTGCAATTGAAATTAGTAGGCTGTCAGTAGATTAACAATAATTAACTAATTAATCATCAAGCACATTTTGAAATTCATTAATATGCAATAATGGCGAGTAATGACTCTTTGTTTTTACTCTAAAGAGTAAATCTTAGAAGTAATAAGTAATACATTTAGAAAAGCATGTATTTTAGACACTGTTGTTTAATTGTTAATGTTAGTATTATTATATTTAACGGCTGTCTGAATTGCCAACAATCTCCCTACATTTAGCCTTTCATTTCCAAATCACGGTCTTTTAGGGACACGGTGGTGGTCCTTTGCAGACTGTGTGCCGGGTAACGTTAAATGTTGAGATGGAAGTAGAATAGCAGCTAGCTTAGCCTAGCAGCAAGCTTAGCATAGTGGTGCTTTAAGTGGTCCCTTGACCACTCACCCCCCTTCTGTTTGATACGTGGAGTAATTCCTCTGCACAGTTCTCCGCTGTATGTTTCCACGCTTCTGTTTGTTTCACTTCCAATACAAAAAGCGCTCTCCATCCTGATGTAACTGACTCCAGCTAGCGGCTGTTTCATTTCCGCTGTGAACTTCTGGTTAATGCGTTTCTGTTGACAGCCCTAGAAATGAGTAATTATATACCTCTTAATGATAATTCTAAGTATATGAACAAGTTAAAACAAGCTCCACCTTTACCAGCTGCCAAATTAAAGCAATGAACAAATTAATGCATCAATAATTCTTATACGATGATACAATATATCATCGGACATTAATCGTGATGATTAAAATTTTGTTGCTTTTCTTGAATGCAAATACTTTTGTAATTAGTGACATTTAAATGGTAGTAAGTGACATATCTGAGACTACATATTCCTTCAACACTGTCCTCTAGCAAACAACTTCATCATGCATTAAAGAAGCACTTAGTTCACGGGTTCAGGAATCTATGAAGATAACGGCTGGAGCCGCAAACCACTTTAAGCACCAGGCAATACTGTGCATTGTCACATGATATGCGTTCAGCAGGAGCCTGCCGGTAAAGCCACAAAGAAATGTAAAATACGTTAAATTAGGCACGACAAATGAGACACTATGTACATGATGGGGGACGCGGTTCTCTTCTCTCTTCTCCCCTTGAGCTAATAGGTTGATATTTTAGGACACACACTAAGCCACTATCTTGCCACGCTGTTTAACACATGATTGATACCATTTATGTCTGTTAGCCATATCAAACAATACAGGTTCAAAATGAGTGACACTGACTATGACTAAGCTGGTCTAGCCCTGTCTGAAGATGATATCCATTTCTAAAAAGTTATGCCATTCAACAGACGGATATTAGGATAACTGCTCATCTAAGTCTAAAATTGAGTGTCCCTCTCCCCTTCTCTCGCTCCCTCTGTGCCTCTTGACGCAAGTGTTGTTGTTTTTTGTTGTTGTTTTTTTTAGGGTTGGTGATGAAGACGCGACCCACCAGTTGGCCCACCGCAACCCCCGAGCTTGGAAACCACTGTCTTACAGGAACATGTTGAATGAATCTTTTTAAAAATATTTGTTTTCAATGATTGCATACAATGTGTGATATTGAAAGCAAACGGAAGTGCTTATTGCAGCAATTTGGTAAATTTTAAATTGAAGTACCCAACAGCTTACTCTCTGTGAAAGTTAGTGGTTTAGTTAGCATATTTTATAATTTGTAACCCATTAACAAAGACTGAGAAACAATACATTTGCCAAAAAAAAGACGCATTTGGAAGCCTCCTCGCCATCTGGCCACTGCCGGTCACGCAGCCAACTCAATAGAGGCGCCTTCCAGGACTTCTTAGGTTTAATTCAGAATTATGAACTATTTATGACTTAACAGGGTGCAAATTGCCATGAAAGAAGCAGGTGTGGACGGAGGAATCGCAGGTATCAGAGACGACTATTTCTGAACGGCTGGAAATAACAAACCAGCCAATGAGCTCAACGCTTAATAGAGATACTGTCATGGTTTTGTTGGTGGTGGGCATAAAATGATCCAAACTTATAACGTCTTAGAGTGGTGCCATCACTCTGTCATCCCACGACTGTGACTGATGCCCAAATCGGTGTTCAGTACCAGGGTTAACCCACTGCCATATCTCAGTGCCTACTTGCCTTCACTGAGATTACAATGGCTTTGCGCGGTCAAGAAGTCACGTATAAAATGGAGGGAAGACAGAATCCCTTTTTTTCTAGTCTCAAGAAGAATGGAATGCAAATTAATTTAAATGGATGGCCAGGAATAGGCAGTACAAGGTAATTTTCTTATATTCTCTCCATGTTCCCGTCCCTTTTTTCTCACGCCCACACAGTGGAAAATGGTTCTCTATAAATCTCACAGACAAATCTCATCTCAGGGAAATGCAAGCCTTCTATTAAAAAGAGGAGCGAATGTCAGATGAATATGAGATGAAATTGCCCTATGAATAAAATTCACAGGCCCTCAGTGATTATTACCGTCGGGTTTATCGGGAAAAGACCATATTGCTGTATTTTATATCTTATAACAGCGAGAGAATATTTCACATTCTTGTGGCGGTAGAATGCAGGGTTGAGGGGGAAGTGATGAAGAGCCCATCTGGCTATTGAACACATGGACTAGCTGTTAGTAGAGTGGGGTCTGGCTATCTAAACAATAGCTGAAAGAGAATTAAACAAGACAATTTCAGTGTGACTGATAAGGTACTGCACGTCATATACTTCCAGAGGGGTACGCAATCCATCCATGTTGAAGTCCAATTTTGTGAAGGTGCATGCAGCCATGTATGTAAGAGCTGAAGGAAATAATGAACACTGCATACGAATCACTCTGTTAAAGCAAATCCACCCTAACACTTGGCCTCGGCCTGACATTTCCTCTGTGCATGAACTCTTGCTGGCTTCAAAATATCACAGCGCTGTGACACGGTGAAGGTGTGAATGGGCACGCATGAGGGGAAAATTGATCTGCTTTGCCTCTCAGGACTCTTTCTTGAGACTGGACGGACGTGATCAATGCAAAGTCCCAGGAGAGTGTGGTTGATGAATCGATGTTTGTTTGATCGGATTATTTGTTCATTTCCTGGAAGCTTTTTTGTTGCACTCCAAATAGAGCAAGGTTGTGCCGAAACATCAGCTAATGGAATAAAGCCTTATCTGCTCTGCCCTTGCTTTTTGCGTGAACTACCTGTTTTTAAGAACTCGTTCCTTCACTCGCCATTTAATGTTCAGCCTCGTGCCCATAAGCAGGATTCTTCTTGGAGCATGAGGCACAATAGCCCACTAGATGAATATTCATAAGTGAACTTGTAAGTTAGGAAGATCCACAGGTTAATAAGGGATGGGAAATCGCTCATTACATGCTGTGGAGTCGTATAATGCCTGAAGCAGACGCTGAGATCAAAATACATGAACATGTATGTACAGGCCTCCAGAGACGAGGCCCCATTACACTTAAAGGGAGAGTTCAAAGCTATCTGGGGTATTACATCTTCATCATCCCTTTCATACTGCATTTCAGAACATCAAGGAAACACATTTTACTATCTGAATTCTGCAATGACAAGAAGTTTAATTCTCAAAAGGTAATACTATAACCAGTATAACACTGCACTCATACCGGAAAGGAGTAACTACATGTTACTGATTTGTCTTAAAAATGTGTTTTGTTTCCTTAATGGCCTGTAATATATAGATTATTTGTCTTTGTGTAATAAGATACTGTATTGCATGGCATTGCATTGAATCAGATGATTGCAGATACTATTGTATTTTTAACCATTATAAAGAACATTAAGGGATAACATGTTTTAATCTATTTTTAGATAGCCCTCTCCGTTAGTAAATAGACAATCATTTTCTATAAGATTAGAGAGGATCTGAGATCACTATGCTTTGCACTGTGTCTATTTATACTTTCAAATCTACTGAGGGCTTGCTGTCTGCCTTGTAAAGCAGCCGGATCAGATTTCTTTTCAATAAATGCAGATTATATTGACCGAGAAAAAAGCCTGGATGAATGGCCTCATTCCTTTCATGTAAGCTAATTTCACTACATGGCTAAACATAGTGTTCCAATCACACGGATTAATATCTGTCTGGCACCTTGTATTAATTTAGAGCACAGACGGCATCTGACACACTACTGTAAGGACAATATACAAGGCATACCGATAAAGCATACCAAAACAAGCTGGACCGCATTTACTGGTAAAGCCGCGCAGATGGATTTTCTGTGGTTGAACACACAAATGGGATCTGGTGAGGTAAGGATACATGGCAAAACATAACAAAAAATATTACATGACTAATCTCTCTTTTGAGAACCAGCTTTACTTAATAACTTTAGTTCACAAATCAAAGAGAGAGGAAGGGTTTTTCTGTTGTACCTGGCTCCCGCAATGAGGCTCTTGTTTCTCTGTAGCTGCTTGTGTTGCTTCCTGCCTTTGCTGGACCAGGGTTCTGCTGGAGCTGTTGTGATGTTGGTGGTGGTGGCGGTAGGGTGTTGTTGGCAGATGTTTTTTGGCTGTCTGTCAAAGGGTCATCAATGCTCTCCATAGTGCAAGAGTGTCGAGGGGGACTCTTGTCGCGTCATAGAGCCTACGAGGGAGAGGCGAGTAAGGTGGTAAGTTGTCTAGCTCACAATGAGGGTGCAGTGTTTTATCTTTATTTCCGTCCTTCGGACACAGTGACAACGCCATTATCAGCACATCCACCATTATCAGGTTGTATCGCTGAAAGGGTCTTGGAAATCTGCCTTCTTGGCTCCGTTCTAACCTAAGCTGTTTAGTACCTGTGAGTCTCAAGGTGAATTTTAATGGCATATTACAGTAAATATAAAAATTTTGGAGTAAACCAGAGTCTGATACCTTGTGCCCTTCTGGTGTTTTTCAATTCCAATACTCTCATACTGCTAATAGTTAAGCACATAAACCCTTTAAGAGTATCCCTCATTTAAGTGTGAAGTTATCCTTTTGTCCAGACTAAACTATGTTTCAACATTTGGATGAATTTGCACATTGATGATTTCCAAATGAATCTTATAGCATTTCCGAGCTGTTATTAAATACAACTGGACATTCCATCAACCTTAGTTGTACTTCGCGCTAATTTGTAATTGTTTGCATGCTAAACATACCTGGGCAGTTACATAGTGACAAGTAAACATTTTAGGAGATACTGTACATGGATTTCAGTAGCAACACAATTCTGTATTCTGTGTGCACATGCACGTTTTCTTGTTGTTGTTGTTTTTGGAAGAAACGTTCTGCTCTGCGAACTAGGCCGTGCTTCCCGCTTTATGACATCAATTACATTTTTAGGCCACATGGAAACGGCTGAAACTGGGCTGTGTGCTTTCATTGGCTAGCAGATACGCTGCTGGCTTTGCAGATACATTTCACAAGCTCCTAGGCTGTTTAAAGAAACAAACAAAAAAATGCACTATGATATTGTGGTAGTTTTTTTGCCATTGTTACCAACAGCACCAGCATCTCAAAATGGAGGATTTTGTATTTTCCTTGCAACAGAGTCTCTTTTCCTTTCTCCCTCGGCCTCCCTGGGTCGGCCAAGCCGCTTTCTTCTCAGCGGTGATTGTGTTCAAACCACTGTTGGATGTTCCTGGAGGACCCAAAGGGATCAATTACTCAGGCCGGTACCGACCCAGAACCCAAGGGGGAAGAGAGGGGGAAGAGAGGGGGGGCTTTGGGGGATTCGATCAGGTCCTGCCTGAACTGGACCATAGAGACGGAGAGGAAGAGACGGGGAAATGGAATGATGGGGGCGGCTTTCCAAACCCCTAATGCTAAAGCTTTTACATTCTCTACCTCTACAGTGCCATCACTGGCAGATGTATAAATGCTTGAATACCAAACTGTAATACTATTCAGGGTCAGGGGAGGCAGGTACAATATGAATGTAAATTGATTTACAATGGGATTGTTTTTGTACTTTGAATGTAAATAATGTACTACACTGCAAAAAAACGAAACCGCAAAAAGTCATAGAGCTTGGTTTGAAAATGAAATACCGGGGGAAGATCCCTGCACTTGTTGCTACTAACTGGCCACTGGCCCACTGTCGTTTTGTAAAAGTGGCCCCCGAGGAAAGCATGTTGAGAATCCTAGCTGTCGTATCTCACAGGAAGACACAGGCTGGCGCCCGGAAATGTCTTGTGTAAAATGTCCCCTAGTAGAAAAAAATCAGTTTGAGCACAAAAAAACGCACTAAAAACAAAAGTCTGCACGTTGAATCTTTCCCTCGTACAAAGTACCTCCAGTGCACAACAGACGTATGATACATGAGCTCACAGGATCAAACATTTGACTCATACTCAAACATGTTTCCAATAACCTACATCTTTCTCCTCTCAGCTCCGAAAAAAGCATTGCTTACGGTAATCACAATTCTCTTAATCGCACTCACAGCCTAAATACCACAATCAGGGCTGACCTAATAGAACGTGTGATTAAGACCTAGCCTCACATTAAAGTATCCTTAGTCATTTCAATTGTTTCTACATTTAGGTCCGTAAACAAGAGATTTGAAAATGACAAATGCTCTTTTTTTCCCTCTATTAATCAAAGGGACCAACAAATGTGGCAAATGTGGTAAATGTATTGCGTATATGGTATATACGACATGGCACTAGTGAAATGAGATTTGTGACAATTATTTTCAGGATTTTTGTGCAATTATTAAAACACTTTTGAACAGACAGGCACTAAGAGCCTGAATAACAAGAGCCACTGCTGGATGCGCACCAACTGACATAAATCATGTTTTACGATGCGAAGTGTAGGTCTGACTGGCCCGAATCTCTTTCTCGGTCTTCTCACTCACGATGCTTTCTTCTTCCCCTCACACTGCTTTTCTGTGTCTCTTTTAAATTGTTCCTCTTATCGGGCTGTCACAAAAGCCGGCAGATAACCCGAGGTGATTTTGTTTTTTTCCTCTAATGGCGCACTCCCTCCAGTCTCTTTTCTCGCTGCGTCGCCTGGCGCTGGCGAACGCAGAGAGAGATCGCTCAACTGCGCCGTTTCATCCGCCAGTCTAAAATGGTGGAGGGCACAATGCAGAGCTTCCTCCTCTCTGGAGAGCGACAGCGGTAAGCCTTTTCCCTGAGAGAGGGAGGTACAGGAGATGACTGCTGAGACGACGTATCACTTTGCCAAAAGTGAGCGCTTGGAAAGGCCACATTTGACTGTGGTGACTGTGTGATGAAATGTAAATTCAAACCATTTTAGTGTTATGGAGGGAGGAAAGTCTATTGGCAGCGGGAACCCTGGTTGATGCGTAAAATAGTTTCTCTTTCTGGTGATTTGTTGCAGATGAGCCTCCCGTGGTTGCGTTGTTAGGATGTGGTGAATATTACCCAAACGATATGTGAATATTGTCATAACACTTTAGGTTATAAAACAGTAGAATGCTTTGTTTGCAATACAAATTGCTTTATTTAAAATCTTGGACACCATAGGCTGCCGGTTGGATGATATTCAGAGGCGGGCGTTAGTGAAAATGGGCAGAACGTTTGATGATTTGTCCTGTTTTGACAGATCTCTTTGGCCACTGATTATCCATCATTTTAATGCCCATCGGGGTGGCTATGAAGCATAAGACATTTGATTTTATGTACTGAGGTAAAACAAGAAAATAAAATAAAGTGGTTACCGAAGGACATGAAGTTGAGCGTCTGCATGCTTTTTATTGCTTCATTAATACAGTTAAGTGAACCCAGATAGCTCTTATATAGTCTTAGAGCTTCATATGGTTCATCTGAGGAATTCAATTTTCTGGTCAATCATTTGGAGGAGAAACTTGTCACTGTATTGGCAAGACTCTTGAAATAAATGATGTGCTATGGCTTCACAAGGCACTTCTGTTTGATATCTGTCCTTTTCAACTGCATTTGTGCGTGTGTGGACTCCTAATAAAAGTAACCTCGCTCAAAACATCACTGTCAACAATACGCAATGTACATATCAATCTTCATATGTTTCGTCTGGAGCCGGCCCCTGAACGAAATCGATATTGTGTTCTTATCGACAGGAACAACATGTACTCTGAAAAGAGGGGTCAGACTAAGACAAATGCATGGACATAGGGACAAAGCGGAAGATTGAAAAAGCAAAAAGAGCGGGGGAGGTAGATCATGTAATGAAAGATATAGTGGGTGAAAGTGAAAAACACTCTATGGAGTCAAGCAGAAGGAAAACGAGTATGCAAGGAAGTTATTTTTAAACAGAAACCCATGAAATGGTGGCCGCTGAGAGGTCGAAATCTGCCGTGCAACTAAACAACAAAAGCCGACTACGGTAGAGAAGAGGTCAGCCGTGTCATCCTGAACAACAATCTCCTTCTGTTTGACAGAGAAAACATAAATTCTCAAACATTTGACCAATACACGCAAGCTGCCTCTTGACATTTGTCCAAAATAGCCCTTTATGGGGCTGAGTCAGATTGACTTGGCTTAGTCAAATGCCCCGAGGGACGTGTCTGTTTGTCCGCATTGATGTTTTCACACAAACACCTGACAGTCAGGTCGGACGTGCTCACTGGACTGTGCACAGCCAGTAGTCATCCTAGGCAATATTGGGCTGGGTGCAGTTTGGGTTTAACCTTGAAAAGCCTCAGGGAAGGGACCATTTGTTCAAAGTTAACCAGAGGGAGGCTGAGGAGTAAATTGTTTGTTTGGTTTTTGCCTGTCATTCTCCCTTAGGTCAGTAGATAACAAGAGGTTTATGTAATTTTTGCTTTGGAGAATCAGCCTTAACCTTTAATGCATTTCAGGCCATTCGAGGTTGCTCGCATGGTTGAGAAGTCAAATATTTGAGACTTTTTTCAACCCTGAGATTAAACGGAGCGTTCATCCATCACATACATTATCATTTTCTGAACAATAACCCTGAGTCTGCTCGTTGCAAGTTATCAGAATCCTTGACAGTAAAAGTGCTTAAACACTCACACACACACACACACACACACACAGATACGGACACAAACAGGCACAGATGAGTGCACATAGCTGTCCAGCCATTTGACTAGCTGTCACCAGGCTTAAAGTAGCCAATGAAGCCAGCAAGAAATACCTGTCACGTCTCACATATCGTCGGCATAAGCCGATGAGAGGTACATTGACCGGCGTCCTCAGCAGGTTATAAATGGGCTTGAGGCCGAGGCTACCAGGGCCAGGGATCCTATTCCCATAACTCTGACTGTAAAAACAGTCAAAAACAGTGAAAGGAGCATATTAACATGCCCGTAAAGATGCACATGCATCGGATCTATCAGCCTCAAAGTCAGTGACCACGGCATTTGCATCATACCCCTTTAAAAACGCACACCAGCTCTTAAATCCATCGTACATAACAAATGGATCTCTTTACTATGCGTGGTAAAACATGTCACGGCTGTCACCTCAGTCTACACAACCAGGTAGAGTATGTTCGGGTCGGCACACATATCATCTGGGTTCAGCATTGAGGGTGTGTGTGTCTGCTGTTTGCGTGTATGTATGCGCTTGTCTTTAGGCAGGAAGGCATAAACAAGTTGGTCAGCTGATGACTAAATCATGACAGATGCATTAATGATGCCCCATCGCTCCTCAATGTTCACCCATTGACATTCACAGATAGGGCAACTGGGCTGTGAGTGTGTGAGTGTTGCGTAACATGATTCTTAACAGAGATCTCTTTAATTGCTAAAGTGAAGACTGTGCATACAAGCTGAGGAACGACATGGTTTTAGGTGTCTTGTAGAGCGGTGGCAGGATGCAAGGCCTGGAATGTGGGACAGCGGGTGTGTGTTTGGGTATTTAGTTTCGGGGGAAGTGGAGAGGAGGAGATTCGGAGAGCCTGAGGACAGCGTTTGAAGGACGGCTGGTTGAATGGATGGGCGGCATCCTAGCAAATGCAAGTGGTGGTTCCCCATCTGCTGCTATCATTAACATTAAGAACGTCCCTAATTCAAGCTAATTGCGGGTGACGGAAAAGTAAACAAACCGCATAGAGTTCGTGAAGACGAGGAGGCGGTTATGGAATATTTTCGAGCTTTGATTTTGTAGCGAATACGGATTTTCAGACTATTATCAATGAAGCTGTGACCCGACAATGTGCAAGCTGTTCCAAAGTGCAAGGATATGGCAACAGTTAGGAATATTATATTTTCTTATTTTTTCCAAGAATCTCACAGGGAGGTTTTTTAGAGTTACGATCCTTTCACATCACAAATTGGTCAAATGACTATGTGTAAAGTGTTACACTAAGTGACTCTGTAGTTCCCCACAGTTTAATGGACAATCTTTTGCCTTCTGTGAAAAGAGAGAAAAGTTTACTTCAAAACACTAAGCAGCGAAGGTTTTTCCTTCAAAACAGCCAAAAAAAGGAAATAGTAATAGTATTTATATTCAAGGGTCAGGATCATTAATGCTAATGAATGGTGATTTGCTCTGTGTCTGCTGTGCTATGTGGAGATAGGCACGGCCAAATCATCTTAAAAAAGGTGATAATGACTCAGGAAGTTCATCTGGTAATGGCCAGATTAATGAATTTAAAAAAATGTAAGATTAATAAATAATTTTCTATTGACAGCCCCAACTAATATAATCACTTTCCCAAAAACCACCACACAATTATTCACAACAATATTAAAAAAAAGGAACATTAAAGTAGTCTTGTACACTAGTCTGTAGATACTAGGTGTTTATGGTAGCCAGTACCCAAAAGTGATTATCATTGCGTAAAATGTTCAATTCTCATGCTCATGTTGTTCTCTGCTGCAGTAAGTCCACACACTTTACAAAGACCTACTGGTTTGAGAGTAGTTTGTGCAGCCTGGGGGGCTGGAAGAGAACTCACCGTGGTGGTTTTGACTCGGCCTCCGGGCTGTGTACAAGTCCAGCCAGATTTATTGACTAGCAGGTCACAGCCTTCGTCCTCCAAACATGGCACCATCTCGCACCACTGCTTTTTCCGAACAATACCAGCTGCAAAGAAAACCGAAAAAGAGAAAAAGAGTCATTGGAGAAGTAAGAAAAATGGCAGGATTGAACAGATAAAGAAAAGTGATCGAGGTTGATGCACAGATGTAACGATTAGAATAGAGGGAGCCGGTAGAGGGACAGCAGATGGAATAAGACAGATATGGGCAAAGAGGGAAAATGAGAAAAATGTTGAAATACATTTAAATGGAGTGAAAACGATGGGGAGATGTAGAGGGGCCGATTGGAAGACGGATGAGGAATGCAGGTAGATGAAGAGCAATGAAGTAAAGAGACAATTGAGAGATATGGGGGCAGGGGACGACAGAGAGAGATGAGGGGGAGATGAAGAGAATCAGGCAGATGCAGAGAGAGGAGAGATGGAGAAAGATGTGGTCATTCAGGTAAATGAAATCAAACATCACAAATGGATGATGTTTAACAAGTTTACAGCCCTTCTTGCATTCTGCAAGATTTAAAAAAGCCACTTCTATTTCATAGACAGTACACGTTCAAATATCTGACATTTAGTGTGTTCCAAAATAATTGTTTATAACATGTTGTAATTTGTACTTCTTGAGGACTAACATGGTCCCAGTCTGCACTGCTTTCTTTCAGTTTCTATACCCGGCCCGAGCTTGATCCCCATTGCATTGCTTTTTCTCTCTGAGAATGAGACATAGCGGTAACAGAGATAAATATAGTGACAATTAATTTGGGGGTTTTTCAGTTTGAGAAAAGGGATATTGCAGCGGCATTCCAATCTTTTAATGGAACACCTTTATTTATTTTTCTCATGATGGATAATCCTTAACTCTTAAGGTTTGAGCATCATTACCGACCTCTGTTGCTGGTGTGTGGAGGATTGACAGTCATGTCGTACCTTTTTTGGATCTGGGCATGACTATCTTCTCACCAAACAGCAATAAGAGCATGCGCGTTTTTTTGCTCTATTCTAATACATCCTTTTTCGACCAAAAGAGTATTAGAAGAAATTAATATTTAAAGAACACTTGAAAAAATACGTGAACGTTTCCTTAACTTAAATGTGTGCCTCCTAAAATAACATATTACCATGAGACAATAAATAAAAAAACCCTATCATGGGTTGTTTTTGTGAAACCCCCTAAAGCAGGAAAAAAAAGCGATCTAAATGCTGTCTTGCTATTTCTGTGAACTAAATTAATTTCACGATTTAAGCGGTCGGCTGTCCATTCCTGGATACTCAGAAGTGCTGAGCATTTATACTGCATGAGTGTCAGCTGAATATGGTTCTTTGCATCCGTCAAGGTGAACAGTGCCTTAAACCCCCCCTTCCCTCGCTACCTTTCAAGCAATACAATGGTGGAGATGGCAATGTTTGTGACTCTTTAAAACCAAACATTCACATGCCAACTTAATGGACAAGCACAAGTGGGCAACTGTGATAGAAAAAGCTAAATTTAAATTTTTCTTCCAAGCTTTTCTTTTTTCTTCTTTTCTTTACGCAACCTCCGTCAGTTGTGTACAAACAATTGCAGCCAAATAAGTGTTTTTAGAAAGATTGTACGAAAATGTGTGCCGTCATTTGAAAATGTTAGTCTCACCTTTCTCTCACCCTAATATAGAATGCGGTAATTTGCCATTCAATATGGAAACCAATATTTAACTACTATAAATCTAAACAACTTTTCTAATAGAACCTTATTGACCATGCATACTCTTGGCTCATCATTCCATGATGTGGTAGTCAAGAAAACCCCCCAGAAAAAGCAGCTGAACGGAGACAGGCTCCAAATGCAGTACCAATGTATTATTTTGGTGACATTACAGAGTCCTCTGAATTACCTTCATGCTTCACACTTTAAGTCCCAAACAAAGTTCAATACATCCTTTTATAATTCTTTCATCCTTCCCCAACAGGCAAGCACATCATGACTTTGCTGGCACCCATCTTTTCCCTTTTTAAAGAAACTATTTTTTAAACATTTTATCACATATTCATTTATTATTTATTTCTAGTTTGTTCTGAAGTCTTGTGTGAAGTATGCCAGGGCCAATGACACGTTTTCAATTTCCATCCATTTTTGTAAACGTGAAGGAAAAAAAAAAGGGTTTCAAATCTTCATTTACACCCCGCTAAACCTCAGCGACAGTAAGTGTAGGGTAGCAAAGATTATGTAAACTTTGTAAATGGTAAATGACGGCAAGAGCGCAGCAGAGCAAATTAGAGGACATATTGAAAACACGTTGGGGTTCGTCGGGGTGAAAAGCGGCGGAAAAAGAAACCGTGAGCTGTAAGAACCTGATGTTTGTCAAAAAATGTTTTCCATCCTTTTTTGATGTATTCCCTTACTGTGAATTTCTCACATTCACAGCAAGGTCACTTCACTATTCACTAACTGCTGTTGTTTTGCTTCTAAATGACCATCTAGTGGGGTGACCCTCAGCTGATGAAGACGTATCGCCACGTCAGGTAAATAATAGTAATGAGGGTGTGAATGCTGTTACGTGTTTGTGCTCCACTCTGCACGTGTGTTAGATGTGTCATTTTTGACTGATACACCAGTAAAGCAGCTATACTATTGATGCGAGGTGTAAATATTTTACCTACTAACTCTCTATCTGCTTTACCTCGAATGCAATTTATTTTTACCATAGTAGCCTACTAACTATTACTAAAACCCCTGCATACATAAATACATACATACATAATAAGTGGGTAGTCATATCAATGTTATTTTCGGAATGAAATACTGAGTGGTGGGAAAGGATGTTCTTTGTTGTGAACCCCACAAATACTTATATCCCAACTTTGCACTTCTACCACATAAGGAAAATGTTAGTATATTTAGCTCCCCACCTGACGCAACTTTTTAAATTGTCATTTTCAGTGGCACCAGGCAACTGCTTTCATCAACAAGGCTCAATTAAACACACGGCCGTAAACAGTAGTCAATAAAGTTATGGATTAGCTGATGAACACAGTTTAAGAGCCACATGGTTTCCTAAGCAGTGGGTAAAGACAAAAACAGAGCGGATATCGGACTATTAACGTTTAGACGTTTGATGTCCCAAAAAATAGCCCCATGTGAATGCTCACATTGCACCGTATCTGCTCCAAGTGTTAACAGGAACTGGTTTGCAAACATGTTAGCCATGACAACAATATGAGTTGATTATTGCTACTGACAGCTTACAAAATACCTACGTCTTTTAGGTATCAAATACTAAAACCTGAGACCTTGAAAGTTTGCTTCAAAATCGTACTTTGTGGACATGATAAGCTGTTGTTGTTTGGATTTAGAGAAGTTACAAAGCGGTCCAAGGACCCAGATTCACAGTCAAATGAGTCAATCAAAATCTTCTCAAAAGAAACTTCTCAAACCATTGCAGCTAAATCAACTTTTTTTTTTGCGATCTTTATGCTCAATATATCCTCAAACTCATTTCAAATAAATTAAGGTTAAATGAAATGGCTGAATAAGGCCATTAGAGGAAACTGCTCAAGTGACAAATAAAAGCCGTTTATTTAACAATATTTTGGCGTAGTGGGTATTTAGTATTCAGCCATGGTGGTTCTTAGAGTTTATAACCACTTGTGTGTAACATAAAAAAAAGCTTCAAAAGAAGACACAATTTGTTGCAAGGTTACAAATGACCATTTCTCTGTAAACTGTATCGATGATACAATTACTCTTCTGCCAACAGGTAACAATTTCTGTGATTTACCATATTAGTAACCAGAAACAGGAAAGCCAAGTTAAAGCAGTCCTTTTTTATCCCATTTGGATTTGAGTCACCCTCACTTAACTCATCTCCTGCCACCATCTTCTAATAGTGACGCTATCTGCTTCCATTCGAGCGTATTACTGATGTGCTGGTGTGAGGCCACTGGCTCATGTTGAAACTTATAAGATTCAAGGTCATTGTGGATGAAAAATATCCCTTAAATCTGCACCCACAAATGCAGGCAGCCAAGCGCTAACACACCAGTGAGCACAGGCAGGCGTGGACCAAAATAACCACACGTACGGGTTTGATGCTGCGTGTATGGGAAGGTATCAGTCTTGGTTTCATCAGCAGGAGATAAGGCGTAGAGAGGGGAGAACATTATTACACCCTCCATGGGACACTTATCTTCCCAGCAAATGGTAGATCACACTCATGTCAACAGCCAGCATCTTGGCCTAATAAATTCTGCCTAATGCTATGCCGAGCCCGAGACAGCAGGAGAACGATGTGTGAGAGAGAGAGAGAGAAATAAGTTGCAGGCAGGGCAGATAGTAGGGACGAAAGAGAGAAAGTACACCGAAAGGCAGAGCAGATCTGGTGTAATGAATGCAGTTACGATGCTCTTCACAAGATGGTGCTAAGATACGAATATGTGCGGAGATGATTCAAAGCTGTACAGATCAGATACGGCTTTTGCAGGTAGCCGGTCAGCAGTGTGTGAAGGACAGCATTGGTCGGACATATTTGTGCAAACACTTATTGTCGCTTTATTCGTTTATTTCATCGACGACTACGGGATTCCTGCAGTGTTGTATTTATGTCACTCAAGTCATTGTGGTGGTCGACAACAGTGTGTGCCCGTGTGATTCTATGCGAGGTTTAAACCGCCGTCGCACAGAAGCAAATCAACATAAACTCTTTATTCACGACAACGGGAGGGTTGCAAAATGAAGCTCTCACTGACGCACGAAACTGAAAGCCATTAGCATTCACATGTATTTTCTTTGCGCTGTTTGTCAATTCGCTGACACTTCAGTCCCACCTACGCCTGTGTAATGCGTCAACATGCTTTCCTACCGCTCAGTAATGACAATTCAAAGCCTTTTAACAAATTGACTGTGTCTTGGTTTCACAAATGAGTACTTTGAATATGGAAGAATTGTCCCCCTAAGTAGTTGTTCCTGCTACTAGCGCGCACATTTCCCGGTAGCACAAACACGGACAGCCACTGGCATGGCACTTAATTCAAATTGTTGGTAAAAGAGATGCCTGCTAACTAACCCAAATGCAGA